TCCCTACTCTTCCCCTTCGAATCTCCTTACTTGACCTCTTCCCTTCCGAGGACCGTGGGTTTGGACACTTGAGGCCGTGGATGAGGAGAGTGGACTGATTCCTGCTTGTTCATCGTTGGGGAGGCAAGGGGCTGTGTGCGAGGCCAGGGTCAGCTTGCAGGTGACTTGTTATTTGGCTTCTGGAAAGAAGAAAAAAAAGGGGAGACAGAGGGGAGAGGGTTTCAGGGGAGGGTGGGGGGGAGAGGAAAGAAAGAGAAAAAGAAATAGGGGAGAGAAAGGGAGAGAGACAGCCCGATGGAGAGAGGGAGAGAGGGAGGTGTGTGTGGGTGGGAGGTGTGGTGGGATGGAGTTGCTGGGTCTGCAGCATTTTCTTTGGCGGGGCCTGGGGTGGAACTTGTCCGTAGGGTACCTTTTCTGTCTCTGGCTGCACTGTGGGACAGGAAGGTGTGGAGGCCTGAGCCCCCCTGGAGGAGCGCCTCCTTCTGGGCTCAGACCATGGGGTCATGCTTGTCTCTCCCTGTGTCCTCGGGAAGTCTGGGGACTCAGAATGCGTAGACTGGGGGGTTAGAGGGGACTTTTCGGCCTGCGTGTGACCTTGAGTTGTCATCTCCCTTCTTTGGGCCTCGGTTTCCCCAGGGTAGAATGCAGGGGCTGACTCTGGCCTCTAAGAGGCTGTTTTGGATGGACCTCTGGCTGGACCCGAGGTTGCTGGGAGGAGGTCTGGGTGCTCTGAAAGTGAGATGCCCCCTCGGCCCACCCCAGGAGGCCCTGCAGCCGCCAGCTCTCTGCTGAGGCTGTGGCATCCTTCTCTGGCTTCCTGGCACCTTAGACTGTCTGTGGTCTTGCTGGGGCCTCTGGCTTTTCTGTGCTCCTGGGCCCAGGGCCACGGAGTGGAACCAGAAGAGAGTCTGGTAGGACCAGGGCAGAGGGCAGCTTTTCTCCTTTGGGTCTGAGGAGAGATGGTGGACTCTTGGGACCCTTTAGCAGCCCTTCCTCCGACCTGCTGTCTGTTGGGGAAGGCAGCCTTGAGTCGGCCTTGCTGTGCCGAGTAGAATGGGTGTGACTTTCCCAGAAGGGCCCAAGCCCCCAGGCCTGCCTCTGGGGTCGGAGACTGCGGCCCTCATTCGTGCTTGTCTTCCCTCCCCACCACCCAGAAGAGACCCTCCGCTCTTTGGCCAGCCCTTCCTCCCCGCAGGGCCCCGAGCTTCACGGCTGGCGCCCCCCAGTGGACTGTGTCCGGGCCAATGAGCTGTGCGCGGCCGAATCCAACTGCAGCTCCCGCTACCGCACGCTGCGCCAGTGCCTGGCCGGCCGGGACCGCAACACCATGCTGGCCAACAAGGAGTGCCAGGCGGCCCTGGAGGTGCTGCAGGAGAGCCCGCTGTACGACTGCCGCTGCAAGCGGGGCATGAAGAAGGAGCTGCAGTGCTTGCAGATCTACTGGAGCATCCACCTGGGGCTGAATGAGGGTAAGTCCGCCCGCCTCGATGGGAGGCACGCTGGGGATGGGGTGACGGGGAGGGCCTCCTGGGGCCCAGGTTCAGCGGGAGGGCCTGGTAACGGGGCAGAGTGGCCACAGCTCTCTCTCTCTCTCCGCCTTGCAGGGAACCTAGAACCCAGCCTAGGCGGGCAGCTGTTGTTGGAGAGACAGACGAAGGAGGAGGTGGGGAGGAGAGACGGTGGGGTGGTGGGAGGGGAAGAGAACCGGGGCTGGTTGGACGGCCATGTGCAGTGGTGACGAGAGAAGGTGAGGCAAGGGTACCCAGGTGGATGGACAAGTGAGGACAGAGGAGTGAGAAGGGGTAGGTGGCGTGAAGGCGGAGCTGTGAGGTCTGCACGAGAGCAAACCAGCACTTGACGCTCCCCGCTGCCCCCCTCCTGCCTTCCTGCTCCCAGGAGGCCTGCCCTTCAGGTGGCTTCCTGACCCCGGGCCTGGCCTAGGCACCTTCAACGGAGCTCTGAGCGGCGTGTAGGCAGCAGGTCCCACAGCCCTGGGCAAGCCCGCCTCCAAGGCCCAAGGCAGAGCCTGTAAGCCTTTCCCCGGACAGCCACCTTCTCCATTTCCTCCCCCTCCAGACTGGGGTGTGGAGGATTTGCTGGCCACCGGGGTCAGGCATTCACTTATTAATTCAGCAACTGTTTATTGAGAGTTTACTGGTTGCTAGGCATTGTGGCAACAGTTGAGAACAGCTGCGGCAGCCTCTGCCTTCGTGGAGCTCATGGTCGGGGGGCGATGCAGAGAAGTTATTTGGTGACAGTTATCTGTTATTTGGTGATGTGAGTGGAAAGCACTGGGTGCTGCGGCATCACTGAGCAGGGGCATCCAAACCCCTTCTTACAAAATCTAAAGTGCCTTCCTGGAAGAGGCAGCCTCCAAGCTGAGATTCAAGAATGAGCTGCAGTTACCTGGTGAAGGTGTATGGGGAGAGTATGGGAGGTGGAGGGAGAGCTTAAGCAAAGGCCTGCGGGTAACTCAGGTTAGTGGAACTCGCTTACAGACCTTCAGGTAACTCGGTGTGGTAGAGACGGGTGGAAGTGGGGATGGGGGAGGAGAGATGGGAGGGGTACGGATCTGGTGGGCAGCACCCCTGGAAGGTTTTACACGATGGATATGTGCTTCAGGACAAAGTTCATGTGGTTCCAATGAAGAGAGTAGATTGGAGAGACCGTTCGGAGGCCACTGCTGTGATACAGGCCAGGAATGATGGCGGCTGAATGAGGACAGTGGCAGGAAAGAAGGATCTAAGAGCTGTCCAGGAGGCAGAATCAACAGGTCTTGGTGAAGGGTCAGAGGAGTCAGGGGGGCCCCCAGTTTTCGGTCTTGGGCAGCTGGGTGGGTGATGTGGCTGATCACAGTGAAGGTATTGAGTGGGGGGAGGGCTGGGAGATGTGAATTTGTTCTGGGGTGTGTGCCTCTCACCGGCCCCGCCCTACAGACAGCTGGGCACGCAGGGCTGGGGGTCACGTGAGGAAGAGCGACTGGACATAGGGATTTAGAAGTCGCCAGCAGACTGCAGGTGGTAACTGGGGCTGAGGGAGTGAGTGCAGTCACATTGGGAGGAGGTCAGGGACAGAGCCCCCAGGACCACTGCCATTTAAAGATGGGCTGCAAGGATGACTAAGGAGGCTCTGGGGGTGAGGTAAGAGGGACAGTAGGATACCTCGGGAGGGGCTCACTCTCAGAGGAAGGAGGGTCACCAGCCTCTGAGAGTTTAGGCCCAGCAGGAGAGGGTTTTCGGAAAGGGTCCCTCATGCCCTTGGGGTGAGCGCCTTAGGTGGCTGCTGGGAGCAGAAGCCTGCTTAGGGGGTGCCTGGGAGCTGGCGAGAGGGGAATGATGACTGTGGCCAAGTTCTTGAATTTTGGTGTGAAGATGGGGGGAGAACAAAGGATGACTTTTTCTTTTTAAGCTGCGAGAGAGTCGAGCAGTTTAAATTCTAAGGTAGGATAGTAGTGATGGAGAGGCTGAGGTGAAGAAGGGAGAGGGGTGCTCTGTGGGTCTGTGCTCTTGGGGGAGGGGAGGCGTCAGCCTAGGATCCGAGGGGCGCCGCCTCCAGCTGTTGGAGGGGGAGGAGGAAACTGGGCCCAGGGGTGGGACCTGGATTTCGAGAGGTTCCTGAGCAGTGGCCTCGAGGGTTCAAACGTGGCCTGAAAATAGGAATAAGCGGGCGTGGAATTATGAATAGTATTACCACCATTAGTAACAAAGTAATTCCTCCTGAATCGGGTGGTCATTTCTTCTGTTGCTAGCAATGCTGGAGTCGTAGAACTAGAAGTTAGCAAAGAGAGGGAGCCGGCCACAGAGACGGGCACTCTGTTCTCCGTGAGACAAGGAGACGTGTCCCTGCCCGCCACACCGGCTGACTCCGTGCCCAGAACATTAAAGACCCCGATGCAGCCAGCTGGGTTGTTTAGGTTTTTGCTTTCTTTCCGACAGCCTTCAGTTTCAACCCGAGGGGGATTGGGCAGAAGGTGGGTGGGCTTGCTGTGGGTGCAGAATGGACAGGAAAGGGATGGAAGGGCTGCTGGCTAGAGAGTTGGGCGGGCCGCCTGAGAACCTTCCCATCGGACTGGCTCCGTGGGCACCGCATCAGGGCTCTGGGGACCTTGCTCGGAGCCGGGACGATGAGGCAGTTTGATGATAACAAGAAGCATCATGTGCATTTTATGCTGCCTTCTGCTGTGTGTTCAAGGCCCTTTCAACCCAGGAGGGCCTGACTGTAAACTCTCCCCGTTCCAAGGCTTGAGATCGTTTGTTGGTTCATTTACTCAACAAATATCTGTTAAGCACCTACTGTGTGCTTCAGAGGGTGAAAGCACTGGGGAAGCCGTGGTCCCTGTGCTGGCGTGTACTGGCTGGGAGACCCTTCCCCTGGTCCCACTCTAGAAAGGCAGACCCCTGCTTTTCTCCTTCCTCAGAACCCTGCCCCCCCAACCCCTTGCAGATTGCACAGTCCCCTCCCCCTGGGTCTTGGGGCTAGAGGTGGTTTCTGTCCAGGGCTGACCGGAGGAACCCAGAGGCCTTGTAACAGCAGGTGGTGTTCCTCTGAGGGACAGGATCTTCCTGAGAGGGGGCTATTCCTGGTGTGGGGTGAGTGGTCTTCTGGGGAGGCTACAGGCACACCCTCCCTATTGCTTAAGACTCTTAATAACTTGGCTTGGGCCAGGGTGGGGGGATCACGGAGAGGAGAGACCCATGTGGGTTTGCACTTAGATTCTGGCTTCTCCTGCTGCGATTATCCAGAGACTCGGCTCCACCTTCTGCCTCTACCTGAGGCTGAGCTCGCTGGTGCAGACTGAGGCTCTCAGCGTGTGGGCAGAGCTGGCGGTGGCAGGATTGTGGCCTCTGCCGAGCTCCTAGACAGTCCCAACCGCAAAGGGCCTCGAGATCATTCTGGCGGGGAAGCTGAGATGCAGGGAGGCGACTCGGGGGCTTCCCAGGGCACACAGCAAGCAGCTGGTGGGACCAGGCTCCCGACTCCTTATCCGGACCCCTTTCCACTGCCCTGGGGGAGAGCTGTGGCCTTGGGCCCATCTTCCCCTCTGCCATCACCACCCCCGTAACCACCAGTATTTACACGGTGGGGCTGTCACTGTTGGCTGCACAGGGGACCAGGCTTCTTGCCTTCTCCAAAGGTGATGCTGAAGTTCAAGGTCATCCTGGTCCTGCAAACGTGACGCGCCGAGGCCTCTCCTACTTATCATCTCCCAGGTCGTGGCCTTGGAATCTGACATCCTGGATTTGGCTTCAGTCTGGCTGCCAGGCAGGTCTCGGATTTCCTGCTGGTGAATTCCGCTGCAGGAGCAGGAGATGGAAGTTGAGTTAAATAGGACGGGCCCCTCCCTCGCGGTCATGGAAGAGGCTCTTTTACCCCAGAGATCCATCCCCTGTCCCCTCCTAGTCAGTCGTACTAGCCATACCCAGGCACGGTGCTATGCCACATGCTGTAGGGACAGACAGACCCTGCTCTGGGGGAGCAGTCCAGCCCACAGAAGATTGCTCTGTGAAAAGTTAAGCAACAGTAGTACTTGTTTAAGAACAATTTGGGGGCTTCCCTGGTGGCGCAGTGCTTGAGAGTCCGCCTGCCGATGCAGAGGACGTGGGTTCGTGCCCCGGTCCGGGAAGATCCCACGTGACGCGGAGCGGCTGGGCCCGTGGGCCATGGCCGCTGATCCTGCGCGTCCGGAGCCTGTGCTCCGCAATGTGAGAGGCCACAGCAGTGAGAGGCCCACGTACTGCCAAAAAAAAAAAAAGGAACAATTTGGTTTCAATAACACTTTTTATTTTTGGAGACAGTATTCATAATGGTTAAGAACTTGGACTCTGGAGCCAAATTCCTGGGTTTGAAACCAGGCTCTGCCACTTACCAGCTGTGTGACGTCGAGCAAGTACCTCAGTGTCTCTGTGCCCCAGTTCCTTAACAGTAAAATAGGGAGAATAATAGTGCCTACCCCCTGGAGAAATTAAGAGGATTAAATGAGTTAGTACATCTGAAGCACTTGTAATAGTGCTGGCACGAGGCACAATACAACATCATCTTTATTACAAAAATGCTTCCTAAACTCTTGTGTTGTTTGGCTGCAGCAGATAGCATGGCTGGTAACCCCACCACAGGGAGTTTCTCCAGTGCCGGTGGGTAGAGTGGAGGATGCTGAGATCATGCAGGCCTGCGATGACCCTGCATGCCCCGGGGGTAGGTGGGATTGGAGACAGGCCTGAAGGAAAGAGTAACCTTTGGATTAGGTCCGTTGGCCGGTACCAGTGGGCACCCCCTGTGCGTAAGGTGCCCTGTGTGCTGGGTGTGGCAGGGCCTAAGGTGCTCCTGTGAGGTACAGTGAAGGGCGGGGCCGCTTCTCCAGGGGGCGTGCTCTTCCTCCATGTCCTCTGGGGGGTCTGTACCCTTCTCTGGGGGGTCTGCCTGGTATAGCAGACAGATGCCTGGTCCGTGGACCAGCGGAGGGCTGGTTAAGCCTTGAGGGCTAGACTGTGGGTGACTTTGGGGGCCTGGCTGAACGAGCCCCTTGCAAGCAGATTGCAAGGCTCCTCTTCTGGAGGCCGGCTCCTTCCTGCAGGTGGCCCCCAGGGGTGCTGCCCCACGTGCTCCTCTTTAGGTGGGGGTACTTGCCTGTGGCACTGGGCCCCGGGCGGACGGGAAATCAGTGTGTGAGGCTGTGGTCATCATCTGTCTCTCCCGCCCGCTCGACACACACACACACACACACACACACACACACACACACACACACAGTCTGAGTGATTATCCATTGATTTCTCCTCGCCGTCATGTCTCAAGAGGATATTTCCTTTGCTGCCGAGGCATTGGCAGAGGAGGCTGGAGTCCCGCTGAGGTGGTGGTGGGTCTCCAGGGCAGCCTTGTGTCATTTATCTCCTGTCACTCGCTTGCTTTTCTGTTCCCCGAGCCTCTGGTGCACCCCGGAGCCTGGAGGAGAGGGCTGAGAAGCAGCAGGTGGAGGGGAAGACGGGTCGGGAGTCAGTCAAGACAGGAGCCGCAGTCAGGCCTCCACCCAGCGGACCTTCAGCCAGTCAGATTCTCCTGGTGGCATGGTGGGAAGCAAAGGGGAAATCCTGTCCCCTTAAGTCTGGGCAGAGCCAGCCTGGTGTGATGGGAGAGAATGCTGGTGTGAGGCTGGAGTCCAGCTCAAGCTCCGCCATGAGTAGCTGTGTGATCTCAGGCAGGTTGCTTTGCCTCTCTGGGCCACCTCAGAGCCCTCCCCTGTGAAATGAGGAAGTTGTACTCAATGACTGTGGAGGGTCCTTTGGCTTCAGATCCTGGGATTTGTACCTGGCCTTCCACAGGGTTCCAGCTCCCCTGTGCCTTCTTTCCAGAAGCATTCGGAAGTCCTTAGAAGAGGCCGGGACATGCAGAGAGGTCACGAGGGAGATGTATTAGGCAGTTCTGACCTGCTGTGGTTGGAGAGAAGTGCCTTGCTCATGTGAAATGTGCAGCATTTCATTCCTCTAACCTGCCCTGTGAAGCTTTGGGCAGGATGTGAGCCTGGGCCTGACACGGTTCTCTCTTCTAGGTGAGGAGTTTTATGAAGCCTCACCCTACGAGCCAGTGACCGCCCGCCTCTCGGACATCTTCAGGCTTGCTTCAATCTTCTCAGGTGAGTGGGCTCATGCTGGGGCCTTGCCAGACCTGCTCTGGTCCCCGTGGGTGGTGGATCAGGCCTCGGGGCTTGGCTCAGGTGTCGGCTTGCCAGCAGGTCCCTGAACGCCTCTGAGCCTGGGGTCTTCATCTGTAAAGAGGGAACCGTAACACCCACCCACAAGGTTGTGTGTGGCATAAAGCATTTAGGGAATTGCCTAGAATGAGCTTGCCGTGCAGGAGATCTTGAATCTGAAACGTGGTATTGCTCTCCCATTTCGTCACCTGTCCTGCCTGGCTGGGTCCTTGCCAGCTGTTCTACTCTGGCCAAGTTACTCGACCTCTCTATGCCTCAGTTTCCTCTCTGGTGCAGAGGGGAGAGTACCTACCTCGTTGGATGGTCATGAGGTCAGAGTGAACCAGTGGCTGTCCAGGGCTCAGCATGCTGCCGAGCGCGTGAGAGCCGTTGGCCGTGGTTGTCGGCGTTCCTATCATCATCGTCCATTCTGCTCTGAAATTCCCCTCTCCCCTGGGGGCTCTGCTTCTTGAATCCCGCTGAGGAGAGCCTCTGCTCTCTGGCCACTCCTGCCTTGGCCTGCCTGGGGAGTGAGAAGACCCATTTGAGCTCTAGCTTTGCTTGCCGTGGTCTGTGTATAGGAGCCCAGTGAGTTTTTTGGTTCTTTCTTCTTGGCCTTGTTCCCTCTGGCCTTTGGGTGACCCAGGGCAGCCTGCCCCTGCTCAGGCACTAGGGAGGACCTTCCGGTTTTGGGAACTCTTGGGGCTGGGATGAGCTTCCTGGAGTCACCAATGCTGCTTAAAGGGGGCCAGGGTGGGCTTGCTCGCGGGCCCCAGACCTCAGGCTTCCAGGCACTTTGTGGCAACGTGTAAAACCTTCCGGTTTCTTTTGCTCTAAGCCAGGGTTTCTCAACAGCAACATTATTGACATTGACCTGGGTAATTCTCTCCGTGGCAGGAGCCGTCCTGTGCACTGTAAGATGTTTAGCAGCATCCCTGGCCTCTACCTACTGGACACTAGTAGCAGTCCCCCAAGTTGTGACAACCCAGTGTGTCTCCAGACACTGCCAAATGTCCCCTGGGGGCACAGTCGCTGCCAGTTGAGAAGAACTATTCTAGACTGTGAAATGAAAGATTCTCCAGTGAGACCCTAAGCCCTTTCAAATGAAGAACTCTCTAGGACAATGTTTCTCAAACTTTTTCTTTGTTTTCATTGTTGCCCCTCTAAGGAGAAAAGTTAATTCTCTCTAACTAGAGAAATACTGTCTTAGTCTGCCTGGGCTGCCATAACAAAATACCGTAGACTGGATGGCTTAAATGACAGAAGTCTATTATCTCACGGTTCTGGAGGCTGGAAGTCCAAGATCAAGGTCTGGCAGGTTTGATTTCTGGTGAGGGCTCTCTTCCTGGTTTGCAGACATCAGCCTTCTCACTGTGTCCTCACAGGGTAGGGGTGGGAATGGGTGGGAATGGGTGGGAAGGAAGTGGGGGATTGGAGTGGGGAGATAGAGAGAAGAGAGAGAAGAGAGAGGGGGGTGGAGGGAGAGAGAGAGAGAGAGAGAGAGAGAGAGAGAGAGAGAGAGAAAGGTCTCTTCCTCCTCTTATAAGGTTACTAGTCCTACTGGATTATGGCTCCACCCTTATGACCTCATTTAACCTTAATTACCTCCTAAAAGCCCTATCTTCAAATACAGTCACATTGGGGGTTTAGGGCTTCAGCATATGAGTTTGGGGAGGGGACACAATTTAGTCCATAGTAAATGCCAAGTATTAAAGTTTTGTCAGATAGGGTTGAGTTTTGGAGGGCCACAGACCATTGTTATATCTACCTTTTTTTTGCCTACCCAGGAGCCCGTTTTTGCTCCCCTGGGGGTGATACCCTCCTCTCCCATTGAGAAAGCATGCTCTAAGGGATTGAGATAGGATGATACACATGTACCGGTGGGAGAAATCCTGGGCCCCGTGAGAAGGCAGGCACTGGCCAAAGGGTGACCATCTGGACATACCCTTGGGCCCTGGTGGTGGGCAGGGTTAGTGGTGGATGGTATGGTGACTTCGAAGATGGTCTGTGCATTGAGTGGCCTTCCCTGGGCTCTCATCATCATACCCCGCAGTGGGGTGATGGCCGAGGTTCCCATCCTGCCTCTGCCTGTGGCACTGTGATGATGCAGTGACAAGCCTTGCCCATCCCACAGGGCTGAACTGGGTGATTGACTGACTGAGGCCCCTCCTAGCACAGACATTCTGATTCTCACATTTCCTGGTTAGTTTTGGGCTACTCCTTTTGAGACAGTGCTAGGGGGCTCCAGCAGATTGAGGAGATGGTTTGCGCGTGGACGCTGTGATGGAGAAATCCCAGTGGCCCGACATACCCATTTCCCACCCTACCGTGGGCTCAGGTGCTACTGCCTGGGCGGGAGCCACTGGGTTTACCTCCAGTGAAGAAATGGCTTTGGCTTTTGCCCCTTGAAGGTTGAAGGTCAGAGGTCCGCACCTGAGCTCAGGCCTCTGCTGCTTCCTGGACTGACACTAAGTATCTTCCTGGCAGAAAATCTTTCCGTAATGGACTTGACACTCTGTGGGACAAGGATGTTGACAAGACAAATGAGGAGATTACTGGTCTGCAGCTCACTGAATCAGCATCCTTTACCTGCTGCTCAGATGGAACTGGGCCCCACACGACCGTAGATCCCTGGGCTCTGGGGACCACTCCCCACAGTGAGGGCAAGGCTCTCCCTCATTGCCCCTGCTGACCCCGCTCCACCCAGAGCAGCCCTCGAGTTGCTGCACGGGCGGCTCTACCTGGGGAAACTCTGGTACATAGCTGGGTGGGGAGGCCCTGGCCCAGCCACCAAGAAACCAAGTGGGCCATGGTGGGGAGCACGCAGCTGAAAGAAGGCTGGATGGGGAGCCGGGACCCTGATTCCAGCTCATTCTCTGCCACAGATGAGCTGATGGGCTTGGGCGGGTCACTTCCCTCCTCCAGACCTTACATTTCTTTTCTGAAGAAGGAAGAGGTGAGCTTAGAGCAGCCTTTTCCCCATCGAGGCGCACGGACAACGGCAGTGGTGTTTGGTATCTAGGAAGAGCAGAGCAGCTTGGAGCTCCGGTGGTCACAGGCCCTTGCCTGGCTGCCCTGCGGGCTGAGGGGTCAATATCTGGGCACACGTATCACCCACCCGTGGCTCGCTGCCTGGGAAATCCTGGTCTGGGGGACCCCAGATCCTGCACTGATGCTCCAGGATGATAGCAATCTGCCCTGCAGGATTGTATGGAGTCCCTCCCCACTTCTGCACACTTACATGTGGCTGTATGTTGTCCCCCCGCAGCCATCTCTGTGTGGAGAGGCTGCAGTGTGGGCCACGGAGGCTCCTCTAGGTCACACTACCCCCAGTCGGGGCCCAGGGACTTGGAGAAGGGTTGGGCGGGAGCCACTGGGTTTACCTCCAGTGAAGAAATGGCTTTGGCTTTTGCCCCTTGAAGGTTGAAGGTCAGAGGTCCGCACCTGAGCTCAGGCCTCTGCTGCTTCCTGGACTGACACTAAGTATCTTCCTGGCAGAAAATCTTTCCGTAATGGACTTGACACTCTGTGGGACAAGGATGTTGACAAGACAAATGAGGAGATTACTGGTCTGCAGCTCACTGAATCAGCATCCTTTACCTGCTGCTCAGATGGAACTGGGCCCCACACGACCGTAGATCCCTGGGCTCTGGGGACCACTCCCCACAGTGAGGGCAAGGCTCTCCCTCATTGCCCCTGCTGACCCCGCTCCACCCAGAGCAGCCCTCGAGTTGCTGCACGGGCGGCTCTACCTGGGGAAACTCTGGTACATAGCTGGGTGGGGAGGCCCTGGCCCAGCCACCAAGAAACCAAGTGGGCCATGGTGGGGAGCACGCAGCTGAAAGAAGGCTGGATGGGGAGCCGGGACCCTGATTCCAGCTCATTCTCTGCCACAGATGAGCTGATGGGCTTGGGCGGGTCACTTCCCTCCTCCAGACCTTACATTTCTTTTCTGAAGAAGGAAGAGGTGAGCTTAGAGCAGCCTTTTCCCCATCGAGGCGCACGGACAACGGCAGTGGTGTTTGGTATCTAGGAAGAGCAGAGCAGCTTGGAGCTCCGGTGGTCACAGGCCCTTGCCTGGCTGCCCTGCGGGCTGAGGGGTCAATATCTGGGCACACGTATCACCCACCCGTGGCTCGCTGCCTGGGAAATCCTGGTCTGGGGGACCCCAGATCCTGCACTGATGCTCCAGGATGATAGCAATCTGCCCTGCAGGATTGTATGGAGTCCCTCCCCACTTCTGCACACTTACATGTGGCTGTATGTTGTCCCCCCGCAGCCATCTCTGTGTGGAGAGGCTGCAGTGTGGGCCACGGAGGCTCCTCTAGGTCACACTACCCCCAGTCGGGGCCCAGGGACTTGGAGAAGGGTGCTCTTGTATCTTTGGGGCCGAGTTGCTACCATCTGAGAATTCGGGGCCTCCTGGAATGTGTTTTCTTCTTTCCCGATGGCCTGCTCTCTGTTGGGCTTCTTTGAAAGCCCAGCTGGGATTCTGTTGGCAAAGAAAGCTGCCGGGACTCCCCCAACACTCTCTGATGCCGAGGCCCTGGGGGAAGGGCAAGTCCTCCCCTCTTGTCTGCTTAGTTCAGAGACAGGTGCTGGGATCAGTGACTGGGTCTGGGATTCCTGGTGTCCAGTTAATCCCAAGTCCAAGGCCGGGAGGGGAGCAGTCTGGCTCTGCCCTGAACAGTGGGGACAGGGTTGTTGGAGGGATCCAGATGTCCTGTCCTAACCTTGTAGACGGGAAGGGAGATTTCACGGAGAAGAAATTAAGTTTGTAAGGAGGTTTGTCCTGTTTCTAGCAATTTGAACTGCCCTTGGAAACAGGAAATGGAGTGTTTCTGGAGGCCTTGTTGGGCCTTTTTGAGCTATAGTGCCTACATTTGTAAAATGAGAAGGGGGTGGCTACTGGTCTGGTCGATACAGAGGAGTCCATGAGGATG